GATAGATAGATAGATAGATAGATATTTATTTATTTAACTTATTTGGTGGTGGCTCCCAGGGACCTTCAAACTTAACCTAGCTGGCAGATTAAAGTATGAGACAAAATGAGAAAAACGCTACCTACTGGACAGGAGAGATATTATATTAATGCTGTTTAATTTAGGGGCCTTTTGTGTATAGCTGAAATTAAATCAGATTCAGTTTTGGTCCTGATAGTTCAAACCCTTGAAAGTATGATCCCCCACCCCCCAGGACCACTGAGGGTCAGGAGAGGGCCTCATCCTGGAAAACGGTGCACCCTCCTTACGTAAATTGAAATTGCTTCTGGCCAGAGACCTGCAATATTCTACTCTCACCACCTGGAATATATATGCACGTGCTCAATCATTCCTCTGCTTTCCTACAGCCTATTGGAAAAATAAATGGCAATAGCACAGTCCAATCAATGAAAAAAGGAGCAGACACTGCAGAAAATAAATTCTGGGCACAGTTTAGAGGTCCCCCGCTATTTCTGTAGGGTGTGGCAACCAGCAGCTTATGGGATTTCAATGGAGGGGACACCCCCAGATTCAAATCCTCTTCTAGACAACAGAAAGACTCAGTTGCAGTTTGGATTTCTTCCAGTTTCCCCAACCTCAGCTTTACCACGCACCTTCAACCATGTGGATGAAGCAAGAAAGAAAGGCAAGCAGTTTACTAAAAATTTGGGCTCAGGTTGAGAACGTTCACCTTTTCTCTACCACCATTCGTGAGGAAAAGTATTAGTAAAATTTCAAATTCCTGGGAAAGGCCAGCCAGAGATCAACCTAACCCAATCTGGCCTGCAGAGGACCCAATCCTCCTACCTAAATCATCATCAACATTACATCTAGGAAATGAGAAGATCCACAGCATAGTCCACCCATGTAAAAGGTCTCAGGTTTAATCCCCAGAATTACTCAGCTGTGATGGCCCAGCATCTCCCTGGGATGCTGGAGAGCCCGGCAAAGGTGTATTCCAAATGTAAAAGCAGCCCTGAAGTTGGGTTAAACGAAAGGCCTGGTTACTCCAGCAGTATTTCCCAAGTGTTTTGGGGAACCTATAAGTAGGAGGGGGGTTGAGGGCACTTCCCAAACATGTTCCTCAGCTTCTGCATTGCCCCCTTCATCTTCCCTCTCCCCCCCCGCCCATTTACCTGCGGACTCTAAACTCCTTGGCGCATGGACTTGTTTTTTTGTTCATTAGTGAAGAATCTCACACAAGACACCCCACAAAAAAGGGTGCGATGCAAATGAGCCACATTGCACACTAACAACGCCATTAGCCAATCCAAAAACCCAAGAATGAAACAGGGGAAAAAATTATGTCAAATCCAACCTCCACAATAAAGGGGATGGGAGGAAGTTGTCCTAATCTTTCCAAAGGAACGGGATAAATGCAAAATACGGATTTGGGGAACTTTGTAGGAAGATACGTCTTGGTGCCTTCCAAGAGCCAGCTCAGCACCCCTCCCAAAGAGCAGGAGCAGAAGATGTCCCCCCTACCCACAAGCTCTCTTCCTCTGGAGCAGTGTTTCTCAACCGCAGCAACTTTAAGACGTATGGAGTTCAACTCACAGAATCCCCCAGCCAGCAACACAGTCCTATTTCTCACCTCATCAACTTGAGCCTGGGTTTGCTGGAGCCTCCTGTTACTGGTGAGGTTGGGCGGTGGGGCGGGAGGACCCCCCACCTCTCCTCCAGCAGCAGCGGGTGGTGCAGAAGCAGGAGCCGACCTGAGAAAAGAGAAAGAGCGTCATTCTCCCTTCAAAACAAGAAGGGTTTATTGCAGTGTTGTCCAAACTTGGCCACTTTAAGATGAGTGAACTTCAACTCCCAGAATTCCCC